GCTGGACTTGATGACCTTCTGAGGTCTCTTCCAGTTCTATGGTTCTATGATTCTATGAAGAAAAGCAATACCATATGATGCCACCCTTCTTTCTCGACCACTGCATCCTCCTGTCAGCTCCCAATTTCCCACTCTATGGCATCACAGTTTGGAATTCAGCACTGCTGCCAGCAGTAGCACAGAAGGAATGGAGGCAGTACAATATCATGCCACCCTTCTTTCCATGTTGCTCCTGGTGGCAACACTAACTTTCTGATTGCCCACCTTGAAAGGTAGAGCTGCCACCAGCAATGGCACAGAAGGAAGAGTGGAAATACAATATAGTGCCACCCTTCCTTTTGTGCTGCTGGTGGTGGTGACACTACCTTCTAAGGCAGGCATCTGGCCAGTGGTGTTGGCAGTCTGATCACCCCATTTGGAAGGCAGTGCAGCCACTAGCCATGGTGCAGAAGGAAGCATTGCAATACCATACTATGCTACACTTTCTTTTGCACTGTTGTTGGTAGCAGCACTGATTTCTGAGCAGAGTGTCCAGGGAGTGGTGCCTGTTCACACGACACCCAGCTCAGAAGGCAGTGCCTCTGCCAGAAGTGGTGTAGTGGGAAGAGTGGCAATACCATAACATGCCACCCTTCCTTCAATGATGCTGCTGGCAGTGATGCTGCCGTCTGAGCTGGGCACCTGGCCAGTGGCCACTACTTTGTAGCTTCCCAGCTCAGGAGGCAGCCCCACTACCAGCAACAATGCAGAAGAAAGGGAGGCAATACCATATTATTCCAAACTTCCTTCTGTGCTCGGGCTAGTGGTGGCACTGACTTCAGAACTAGGTGACCTGCTAGCGGCTGCTGCTCTGCTGCCACCCAAATCAATAAATATTACTGCTCACCTGATCAGGATAGCGATAGTGACTATGAAATGTGATGGGAGATTAGAGAGGCTATAAAAATTAAAAAATAATAATGGGGGATTTCAATAGTCCCTATATTGACTGGATACACGTCCTTTCAGGACAGGATGCAGAGATAACATTTCTTGACACTTTAAAAGAATGCTTCTTGAAGTAGCTGGTTCTGGAACCCACAAGAGGGGAGGCAATTCTTGATTTAGTCCTAAGTAGAGCCCAGGGTCTTGTCAAAGAGGTGAAAATAGTTGGAAATAATGACCATAATATAATAAAATTTAACATCCTTGTGGTGGGAAAAACACCACAGCAGCCCAAAACAGTGCAACAGTGGCTTAACAACCAAATAAAAGAAGCAACGAGAGATAAAAAGGCATCATCTAACATCACCATCATCATCATCATCATCAACCATGGGCTCAAAGGCAGTTGGTGTCTGATGCCTCCTTCACTTTCCTTCCATTTTCCCTGTCCAGTGCGGAGTGGCTTATTTTTTGTAGTCTAGCTCCGCGCCAATCTACCATATCATCTACCCATTCTGTGTGGGGTCTGCCTCTCCTATTTGGACCATCCATTATGCCGAATACCAGGGTCTTAACTTTTTGCTCATCGTTCATTCTGCAGATATGCCCGAATAGCTGTAACTTCTGGTGTATAACCTTCTGCAGTAGGTTCTCTTTTGGCTGTATCTTCCTATATAATTCCTTGTTGGTGACCTTCTGCATCCATCCTATTCTCAGGATCTTTCTATAACAACTCCTCTCGAATGCCAAGTGGAAGTTAAATCCTAGTGAGGAAAATAGAAAGGAGCATAAACTGTCAAATGAAGTGTAAAAATATTATTAGGAAGGTCACAAAGGAGTTTGAAGACCAGCTAGCCAAAAATTCAAAAAGTAATAGCAAATCTTTTTTTACAAACATCAGAAGCAGGGAGTCTGCTAAACAACCAGTGGGGCCACTGGATGATCAAGATACTAAAGGAGCACTCAAGGATGATAAGGTCATTTAGGAGAAACTACATTAATTCTTTCATTGGTCTTCATGACTGAGTATGGGGGGGGGAGGCCCAAACTTGAGCCATTCTTTTTAGGTGACAAATCTGAGGAATTGTTCCAGATTGAGGGGTCTGGCTTGGTGAGGTGGTGCATCAGTGTGAAGGTGCATCCCCTAACCAAATTGGGGGCAGGAGAGGATGTGGCTCTGGCTCACTCAGCTCAGTGGGGCTGTCAGTCCACTCCTTGTGTCCAGGAATCTGGAAATCCACTTCATTCTCAGGTCCATCAGAGTGTTTGGTCTATTAGTCTCTTTGCTCCTTTCTGGAGCACTGTCCATGGATAGCTCTCTAGCAGTCTGCTGATTGGAGTTCCTTTATCTTGCTTGCTAACTTCTCTTTAGCCGCTCCACCAGTTTGCTGGAAATCAGGTGCCTTCATGTGGATTTAGCTGCCTAATATAGGAACATCAGATTTGCCAGCCTGGATCAGAGCAGAGTCCATCTAGCCATTTTCCTGTCCCTGACCAGCTGCTGCAGAGGAAGGTGCAAGAAATACTGCAGTGGACAACTGTGGAATAACTTGTCCACAGGGAACAATCTTCCTGACCCCAGTCAGTCAGAGGTCAGATTATACCCTGATGCCTGAAGTTTCTAACCCTTTCAAGCTTCTGGTTGATCTTTTTAATTTGTACTCGTGTCACTTTGGAATAGGACTTTCTCTATATAAACATCCAATTCTTTTTTGAATGTTGCTAAGATTTGGGTCCCACTGAGTCTTTGTAGCAATAAGTACCATAAGACCATTGTGTTAGGTGGGAAAAAATGGGATTTTTTTTTCTACTGGTTTTAAATCAGTTGCCATTCCAAATCCTTGAATGTTGCCTTGCCTTTGAATTATGCCAAAGGGTGAAAAGAAGTTCCCGATTATCTTCTCTAGATTATCTGTTACTATGCTAAGGACATGATCCATGTTTTAAAAAGGTTGGTGCTGAAATCATACATCCTAACATGTAATTGGTTAAATTATTCTGACCCCAAGTAGTAGTGCAGATCTGGGAGTTAAAGAATGATTCTGGGAAGACGCCTGCAGTAATTTATACAGGGATAAAATTTCCCAGGAGAAAATGAGGTTTGGGAGGCTTGTTTACGAGTGTTTGCAAAGAAATGGAAACCAAGTCAATTGCAAATTCTCGAGCCATAATAGGCATAAATTTCCCGCCCCCCCATTTCAGCACTACTTTTTTCATTACATCTGTCTATTGCAGGGACACTGTTAACTTGAATTTAGGACCTTAAACTTCATTCCTGACTGGCAACTTTGGCTGTCTCAGTTTGAGACACAGTACAGGGCCTGACTGACAGTGAGTGAGTGCTCAGTGCTGCCTAAAAGCCCCCTTTAAGGTGCATCAAGTTACCCCTTCTCCCCAATCACTGAGCATTTCTAAACATAAAGGCTGTGTCTACATTGCTTTTGCGCCAAAACTTGCTGCTTGTCTACACTGGATGTGAGTTCTTGCGCAAGAACACTGACGTTCTAATGTATGAAATCAGTGCTTTTTGTGCAAGAACTATGATGCTCCCACTCAGGAATAAGCCCTCTTGCACAACTGTTCTTGTGCAAGAGGCCAGTGTAGACAGGCAACATGACTTTCTTGCGCAAGAAAGCCCTATGGTTAAAATGGCCATTAGAGCTTTCTTGCGCAAGAGAGCGTTTACACTGGCACGGATGCTCTTGCGCAAAAGCACGTCTCTTGCACAAAGGCACATGCCAGTGTAGACGCTCTCTTCTGGAAAAGAGTTTTTGCACAAGAACTCTTCGGCAAAAGAGTTCTTGTGCAAAATCATGCCAGTGTAGATGTAGCCTCTGTCTTCCATTTATGTAAAAAAGATGTTAAAAACCATAAGTGCTATGAAATCCATCGAGTTAGACTCATGCTGGCAAAGGGGCTAGGAAGTGTATTTTCAACATGCAGTCCTTGTATGTCTGGGACCATTCCTAGGCAACTCCCATGACTTGAGCCTGATGTGCTAGTTCTGAGAGAGGGGCACATCCCTCACCTCTGTTGGCCAGAAGCTGGGAATGGGTGACTGGATGAATCACTCAATGATTCCCTCTGAAACACCTGACATTGCCTGCTATCAGAAGATACTGGGCTAGATGGACTATTGGTCCGACCCAATATGGCTATTCTGATGTTCTTACATAGAACCCAGAGGTATCTGCCCTCTGCTACCCACTAGTCCTCCTCTCCCCCTTCCAGAGCTGAGCTAGGACCCAGGAGGTCTGATGGGGTCTCTGTCTCTGGCAGAGCTGGTGAAGTGACAATAGAAAAAGTCTAACTTTTCACATGTTCATTTTTTTAAATTGTATCCTTTGGTATATATGGTTGTGCCAATTTTCTTCCACTATTTGATCTGAGGAAGTGGGTCTGGCCCACGAAAGCTCATCACCTAATAAACCATCTTGTTAGTCTTTAAAGTGCTTCATCATCCTGTTTTTAACCCTAACAGTGGCCCTAAGTGACTTGCCACAAGATGTCAGAACACGTCCTTAGAGCCGAGTGGGTCTAATATTTCTTTATTTGTTTATATAGGAATGAGACACGTGGCTCCTGCTAACTTCTACTTTATCTGCCAGAAAACTAGGGGTTTTCAAGCGCCTAGGTAGCCCTTGGAGTCATGGTTAAAGTTCCCTCCTTCCCCCGTTCTCCAGCCAAAATCCGAAATGGCGCCCTTGGCATGAGATGAGGGGGATCACAGTGCGAGCCCCCCCGCAGCTGCCGGGAGAGCTCCACGCGGCTCCCCTCCTCGCAGCAGCTGCAGGAGGTTCCCTTTCAGGCTCTGGTTACCAGCAGACACGCCTCGCGCTGCCTAGGTGCCGGGCGGGCCAGTGCCGCAGGGAAGAGC